GGGCCCATCTCGGATTTGGAATCAGCATGGTCGAATTGCTATTATTGTAAAATGAAATTCAAAGTTAGGTTGAAGTTCAGATTGTTGAGGAAAATTCCCTGCCTAAACAGAGACTCATAATCCAAAGTATTCAAAAACTGGCGCTCAGGACAACTTTTTGTCCTACCAATCACAGAGCAGCTTTTCAAAATACGGCTTTCTGATTGGTTGGCACCTCAATTTCTTTCATAACGAGGTATCTTTTTAAAAACATCGTAACCCCCGTGTTGTTACCGTTACAAAATATCACTGTCGAGAAATGGCAGAAAACTGTTGGCTGTTTTCGAAGATTTTGAAAGTGAATTCTGTTGCAAAGCGTACAATGAAAAACACATTTTTGCGTTCGCACTCTGCTGCAAATGGAAACACTTTGTATCATTTTTGTATGAACTTTTTGTCCCGAGGATATTCCTTAGTACGCTCCACTCTCAAAAGTATCGCACTGGCTTGACGAAAAGAATTAAATGACGACAGCGTTGAAAACAACCTGACCAGTGAATTTTTAACTTCACCTTTTTGAAGCCAGTAGGCGCTAGTTTATAGTCAAGAACCAATTTCAAACAAAACTTAAAAAAATTAGCAACACTTTTTATCAAATATTTGATAAATTACTTTAAAAGATCGAAGTGTCGATTTTTTTATCAGAGAACCTTGAAACCATAGTGAGACCTGTTAAAATTTAATCAAAAATGATGATAACAAGTTTTGTTAAACAGGATAAGATAAATTTGTATTTCCATACATATTCATAATAATTATGTCAATGATACAACAACAAACGTTAAAATTAATTGATCCTAGGGATTTTCTTTCGCCGATGCGCCGAGTAAGAGGACTTTTCCTTCATACACCTAAGGGATTTTTCAAGCCCAGGCCGGACACATTCGGGCCGACCTACACATGGAGAATGCAACCTGACATTGAGAAGTTCAGACGATAAACACCACAATTCAGTGAATATAATTAGTATAAACCAAATTCAATTGGATGCAAACATGTTTACCACAACATAATAAACTACCAAGACAAAAAGTCGCGATGACAAAACTGAAGTTATAAATGATACTATAATCGAGTTCATATTAGATTCTTGAAAAAGTTCACAATGAAATTTTACTTTTACTCAGATTTTAAGTGTTGTTGGAAGAATTGTCTGTATTTATTCAATTGAGTTGTAACCTAGAAGATAGACATAACAAAAAATTACCCACAATATCAAGAGGCACAACTTTCTCCATTTTAATATCCTAGCTTTTGCCACGGTCCTAGCTTAGTTCAAAGTTTGGCTTAACTCGCAATATTTGAAAGTTACATCCAAATTAAACTGGTCTGGAAAAAATTATCGGTAGAATAAACGCTTGGAAATAAATCCAGCCCTTGTTTTCGATTTTCCTAAACCATGCCTTTCTCCTTCAGATGCTTGTCTATCCCCATTAATTTGAGTTAGGATATCATTGAGCCAACAAAATCTGAGGTTTTTATTCATTTTAGTCACGCACAAGCCACAGCAATTAACGCAAACAAGTGAAATAACTTATAAAAATCTTTCTACATGACATCTTTGAAAAAATTATAGGAAAATACCGCAAAAAGATTTACTTACGGTTGCAAAGTCGGAACTTTTCACTGTAACATCCACACCAGAGAAATTCCCAAATTTACATGTGAATGAAAGAGCTGTGCAAATGTGCAAATCAGGGGGGTGGATTTGGAAATTTTTGAAAAGAAATCGAGAACGAGACAAAATTGATGTTGCCAGTTTTTGAGTACTTTGGATTATGAGTCTCTGTTGTAGCGTCCGTCAAGTGAGGCAGTAGCGAAACAGAGGCTCATGGAGTAAGTCTACACTGAAATATATAACTTTTGTTCTTTGCATCGATAAACCAGTGAACGACGCAACGTATTGCCTTTAAATTAAAACTGAAGTGAATTGAATTGCATGATTTAATTGGCGGGAAAGGCGGGCATTGGAACAAGGCTATTTTGTGACAAGCATTGGTGACAAGGCTTGCTTGTATTAATATGACAGGGGCTCCGTCCAAAAGTTTTCACGGACACTGGTTGTAGTGAAGCTTGAGTTGAGTGAGGCTTAGTATGGCCTAATAATCGAAATTCTTCAGGGCCCGAGCACGAGTTCAGGTATATTTTTTTAAATTTTCCTCTAGAATTACAAAATAAAAAGCAGAAAAAATTGTAATTATATGTGTAGTTTTATCAAAGGAACAAGATTTTGTGTTAGAATGAACACCTTACTAGAATGACTATTGGTGCACTCTGTTTAACACAATGCATTTGTTGACATAGCAGTTGAAATAGAATTGAGTTTTTTTTTCTTTTACTTTTACCATGAAATTGCTGAGTCATGTTCATATAGATGTTAGGTCAATTTAAGCATCTCAGCCCGAAATCTACCGATTTCAGATCCTGGCATGCAGCATATGCGGCATAATGTTCTTGTGCATGCACCAGCCATACTCTGCAGACTTGTACTGGCCCAAGTTTTATGTTGCAATATTTATTGGAAGTAAGTTGGTATAGACAGTTGTTTTTTAAAACTATCTTTGTTCATTTTACTGGTTGTCTGTCAACTGCAGCAAGCTAGAGTTATGACACTATGTTGATTTCCTTATTTGCAACAAAAACTAGCAAGTTTTGTAACCCTAAGTCCTAAAGTCTTAATCTTTCAACCATGCATAAAAATTTTCTGCAAGCATAAACCCTTCCCTGACTTGAATGTTCTATGGTTTTATAGACTAAGGAGCAAAGTTATAAGGCATGTTATAACTTCTTGTTTGTTTTTAAAGCAAAGGTAACAAACAAAAGTTATATCATAGCAACAGGACCCTATTTCAAATAATATTCTTGCAAGTAAAGTGTCTTTGAACCATCCAGGTAATCCCCTATAATAGAACTAAGGTATTTAAAACAATTAAAATGATGTTGAAACAAACATATCCTTTTGTAAGCATACCACATTATGCTTCGACTTTATCTAGCATGGTAAGAATTCTGTAAAGACTTGTTTGGATGAAATTTGACATTTGTTGGACTGAAACACACTAAAGTACTGCTTCGATGTACTCAAGATTTTTTACCCTTTTTACCAAAATCTATGATTATATTTTTGAGAAACAACCTCTTTTTTGAAAATCTATGTCCTAGATGTGTGTCAAATTTATGACCCTTTCTCCGAGATTTTTGGAACTCACATGGTGTATAGGGTCATATGAACTCACATGGTGTATAGGGAACCCGCCGGGGCTAAATCCAAAACGTCTACAACTTCTCTGTCACACACCATGTGTTGTAAGGCTTTAGTTATCCTAACAGTAGTCCTTAAATACTAAAGGTATAACTTCAGATAGCACAAACATGGAAAGTTCACGTACTTCCTTGAGCCACTTCAACTCATTCTGAAAATTTAAACTTTAAATGCTGTATATACATACTTTAAGGCAAGAGAATATATAATTAGAAAAACATGATTAAGTTTCATTAACGACATAAAATACGTAAAAAGTACGACGTGAAAACACAGTGAAGGAAGGGAAGGGCTGAATAGATATGCTAGAACAAGCTTAATGACGCTAATCTAAGCAAAACATACTTAAATGCTATCTGTGATACAAAAAAACCAAATAAACAGCGATGACTAAACTAAGCATTACGGTCTAACAATCCTGGGAAAATCCCGCACCTATAAACAAAACAAAGAAAGTGGATGTTGAGACTATGATGCCTGAATGTGATGCAGACTTGCCTACGTGCGTGCCAGGGGAAGCCTACGATAATGATATGCAAAACAGAAGATCCTAAAATGAATGAGCCTACGGGAAAATGTAAGCAAGCTATGGAGAGGGGCCTAAGTGGTAAAAGGAACATACAAAGGAGGGTTGTGACATCTTGTCAATTCGCCATTTTAAATTACATTAAATTTAGTGATAATTTCCTTGATTGCCTGAGACAGACGATTACTAAATTCAGTACAGTTACCTAGCCTCTTTGTCTTCTGTCATCTATCGTGTCATTTGCCCATGCTACTATTTTGCTCACATGTCTGGCCATGCGACTGAGACGCTTACGCGTATTGTGACCTACTGTTTCTCATAACCTGTTTATTATAAACAAATGAGTGTAGTGTAAAACGCAATTTTGAATAACGCTTTTTTCTCAAAAACGAGCATTTTTCGCCATGTGTCAGTGATATTCAAACTTATCAACAAATGAAAGATGTCTCCCTCACTTTGTTGGCAAATGAGGCCTAAACGCCACCCTAGAGCGAGAAAGTCACACTTCTAGACATATTTTAGATAGTCTATTGTTTTTTAATCAAAAAAATTGTATGAGCATGATATTATTTTTCATTATGAAATGTAAAGCAACTATAAAGTTGGTTTAGTTAACGTATTTAAGTTGCCACACAAATCATATACCGCCCAACGAGAGTAAAAGTAATTGTCGTTCCCAGTTATCAGTCTCTGTTTCTAACTCACCTTTCGAGCACTGATATCTATCATCGGCCATGATAATAAGGTTAACGTTGGCGTTGTTCATGCGTAACGTCAGCCTATTTAACGAATAACGGTTGCAATATCAAGGCACGATTGAAAGTTGCCTTTCTCTTTTAGGTGTCTTAAGGGGTTATCCCCTCCAGCTCTCCTGTTTTTTTCTGATTTCAAGATTTACGTTTTTGGAAAATATGTTTCTTTTAGCCATAGATGACTTGTGGGCATCGTTTACTATTTTGCAGAGCTTACTAAAAGCTCTGTTTTTTATTCCAAATTCTACTTTAAAGTTTGACAGCAACGAATTTGTTAGCCCCTACAAGTTTGTTTCCTCGTTGAAACATTTTCATGGCCTACTTCCAGAAGTATTCTTATTTATCTAGAATCCAATTCCTAAGTTCTGTAACCATACCCTTATAGCCCATTCCTCGTTGACGTATGGGGGCATATAAGCTCTCTTACATATTCAGAATCAAATCGTAAGTTATTTAACCATACACTTTCAGCCATTTCTGGCTTATGGGGATCTTCTATATTTTTTAAGGGTCTTATATTGTGTTTAATCTAACAATAAATTTCTGTTAGCCGTCATTGATCCATGGTGCTCGTTTACATATCATGTGAAAACATTTTAGACATCAAAATTCCCAAAATTATATTCATTCATGAAAATCATTAACCATTCGTGATCTTAACTTCAAAGATTTTAGAATTATTGCATAGTTCTTTTCATATCTTCGTCATAAGGAATCTTTAAAACACTGCAGCAACAAAGAAAGCGAGAAATTGAGCGATAGAAAACGGTCAAAATTTCGAGCATCAGAAAGAAGTCATACTCCAACAATAAATTAACAAAATACATTTTACGGACAACATCTGATCTATATAACTTAAGTCCGTTCTCAAGAGTCAAGTTCGTTCTTGTTTCATTGTTCGAACAACCGAGAATCACGTCTGCATAATTATTATTGCTTGAAACGCTCTCTGATCTAGATGAGGAAGAAAAAATAATTGAGATGTTATTCCATGGTTAATGAAACAATAAAGAAAGGAAATCGTTAGTCACAATGCGTTTTAAAAATTTTCGCCCAGAGAATCCAGCCGACCGGTTTTTGGTGTAATTCGTGGAAATAATTGCAAAACCTTTTGAAATTGTATTTTTAAAAGGCAAGACAGCCAATCCAATTTATTTAAGTTACAAAACTAAGGTAAAAATTCAAAGAAACACGTTTGCGGCGGGTTTAGCGACACCTTTCAGCAACCAGTTTTTGTGTAACTTCACCCAAATAAACAAAATGTCATTTGAAATGATTTCTAGAAGGATTCCTACAATTCCTCAAAGCTAAAAAAAATTTTATCTATGGGGGCAGCCTGACTCTGTTTCAAAGGCCGAACCCTTATAAGAAAGTTTCAATCGGAAAATCGCAGATAAAACAGTAATTTTAAACAAATATGGCTTACTTACTTGTTGTACCAAGACGTCAACGAATCTGATCGTCCATCTGTAAAGAAAACCAAATAAGGCGGTGAGGGCATGTTGCTGCAAAGGAACGAGAATAAACAGGAGGCGAATTCTACCATAAATCTTATTACTTATTGACGGAATTAGAGTCCACATTTCGGTTTCCTTTCTGCACAAAATCACGAATTTCGCCGTTGGCGGCGGGGTTCTAGCAGTAAGCAACTGGTTTTTAGTGTACTTCATTTTCAGTGTATTTCATCGAAATAAGCAGAAAATCATCTGAAAAAGGAAATATTGAACACACGTAAGAAAAACAACGCTTACTTGTTCTCGCATGCCATTAATACTGATGCCAGTGAAGTACGGGAACTGCCAGCAGTCATCGCAAAACGAAAGCATGGACAGCAGCGTGTGTACGTAGGTAGCTACTAAAACGAAAAGTAAGATTATTAAAAAAACGAATTTCATGGTTCTTGCCAACGAAATAATAAGAAACGAGGTTTCAATGGATCAATAAAAAGGCAAGGAAAAACAATCATCAGTAAATATAAAAAGGGGCAGAAAAAAAATCGAGAAAAAGGAGAGAATGGCAGAAAAAATTGCTTTCTAACAACGAAGATACTATCGGGAGTTATAAACTTTATCCAATCGAGAGAAAGAGTTCATTATGATTAGTTCAATGATAAATTTAGCCAATGGTACAAGGGGCATAAACAACAAATCTTCTTTCAAAGCGTAGATAAAAACCGTGGAGGATCATCGACTTAATCAATCTAGGGTAAGATTTTCCTTATATTAGATCAAGGATTGAAACGTCTATGGAGAATATGACCGAAAAAAATGAACAAGGGCAGAGACAACAAACCTTCTTTCAAAACGTAGAAGATACACCATTGTGGGTCCTCAATATTAATCAATCGAAGGTAAAGGTTTGCTTCAATAAATCTTATGCAGCTTGATACTGTTTTTATGTTAGCTCGAATCCTGAAATGATTTCTTTAGCTGAATCTTCAAGATCAGACCTCTAATAAGCAATTTATTGACACCGTAACGTTCTTCATTTCCATGTACTGCACTGACAAACCTATCCCAAAATTCTTGCCAGCCTTGTGGCCTTTCCGAAAACTTTTTGGCAGTTTGGCTCTTACTATACGGAATGGCGATGAGCTACTTGAATAACAACTGTCTATAAAAATCGGAGAATCAATTCTTCTTAAATCTTGGAGTTGGCTCTTCTTAAGAAGTTTATAAATAGTCTTTGATGGTAATAATTGCCAAATTTGTTTTTAACTGTTCTTTCGATTCATTCTTCCACCTTATGGCGGTTTTTAAACTGTCATATCGTCTTTGCTGTCTTCAACTCTCGCCATCAGCTTCGATGAAAACTTTGTGGCCTCCTCGGGTTCTCTACAACTTCGGCAGTTCATCGATTGCATGTGTTTACTTCAAAATCTTCACTAGATGGACCAGTTGTTGGGACTATAAACTCCCTAGTTGCCAATTCTTAAGATTTAGTGAAATATATAAAGATGAACGTTGAAGAATAACAAAACCAATTTGCCCTGCTATCTGGTTACTCGGTATCAACCATCGTGTTTACATCTTGCGATGCATCTGTATACAAAACTAACGCGCTTTATTTTAAATCTACAAACCTGGCTCCGAGCAACGCCACAAAAATCTCCAAATTTAACGAACAATAAGAAGCAAGAATATCATGTGCAGTTCTGTGCTTATAGCAAATAATTTACCAAATACGTGTAGCAATTATGGATAGAAAAAAAATGCCCGAAAGTAATGGAAAAGTTCCGAGAGCTACAACTTTCTATATTTTTCCAATAAGACGACTAAATGGATCTTTTTTTAATAAGATGGGTGGTTTACAGCGCTCCCCCATCCGTGCATGTGTTTGTGTGTGTATGTTTATTGCTGGCTGAATGCATTGTAACGACTAAGTGTCGTATATGGTAAAAACAGACGACGTGTTTTCTTTTCGCAATGCATGCGATAATAATAGATGTAATATCTTTGACGTGGTAGTTAAAATTTTAATCTTGATAAAAATGTATGTAGAAAATGCCCTCAAATACCCTTTTAGGCCTTCCCCAGTTCGCACTCACTTTTTCCTCTTTTTGTAAAGAATAATAATGGTCATGTATTATTATTATTATTATTATTATTATTACTATTTTTTATTATATTTACTATAATCCAGAATTACATCCTTTTTATTTTGGTTGTTTTTTTCATTTTTTCTTTTTACCTTACGATTGTTATAGTTTTCCTTGTAAAGCCAGGCTAGCCAATTGCAAATTACCTTGTAATAGTGAGATTTGTATTTGTAGTTTAAGCTCAATTGAAAATGAAATGTATCCATTATTATTATTATAATTATCATTACTGTTATTATAATTATTTTTATCATTATTATCAACCGTTCAATCAAATATTGTGAATATTATTACCGTTAATAAGCATTTTAATTTTCCTCACTAGCTGGATGAATGGATGGAACGTACGGGAACTCCAGCGGTCGCCTTATCTCTGGCTACTAACAAGGATGATGTTGTCGAATTGGAATGGATTGGTGAGAACTAAATATTCTAGCTATTAGAAGTGTTACGGAAGGAAGTGTTGCGGAAGGAAGTGTTGCGGAAGGAAGTGTTGCGGAAGGAAGTGTTGCGGAAGGAAGTGTTGCAGAAGGAAGTGTTGCGGAGGGAAATGTTGCAGAAGGAAGTGTTGCGGAAGGAATAGACATTTGGTTTCAAATTTCATATTCACATGACATTTGCAGAAGGTTATCTTTATTGCAGAGAATTTGAAGTTTTTAAGGTCTGAATATAGTTCTTATATTTTCAACGCACAGGAATCCATGAAGCAGTAGCTACAGAGCTAAGGATTAATGATGTCCTATCGTACGACGTTGATGCAAAAAGGGCATTGATATGCCGTGATGTTTTAGAAAGTGTTGCAGAAGGAAGGGTTGCGGAGGGAAATGTTACGGAAGGAAGTGCTGCGAAAGGAATAGACATTTGCTTTTAAATTTCTTATTCACATGACATTTGCAGAAGGTTATCTTTATTGCAGAGAATTTGAAGTTTTTAAGGTCTGAATATAGTTTTTATATTTTCAACGCACAGGAATCCATGAAGCAGTAGCTAGAGAGCTAAGGATTAATGATGTCCTATCGTACGACGTTGATGCAAAAAGGGCATTGATATGCCGTGCTGTTTTAGGAAGTGTTGCAGAAGGAAGTGTTGCGGAGGGAAATGTTACGGAAGGAAGTGCTGCGGAAGGAATAGACATTTGGTTTTAAATTTCTTATTCACATGACATTTGCAGAAGGTTATCTTTATTGCAGAGAATTTGAAGTTTTTAAGGTCTGAATATAGTTTTTATATTTTCAACGCACAAGAATCCATGAAGCAGTAGCTAGAGAGCTAAGGGACAACGATGTCCTTTCGTGCGACGTTGATGCAAAAAGGGCATTGATATGCCGTGATGTTTTAGGAAGTGTTGCAGAAGGAAGTGTTGCGGAGGGAAATGTTACGGAAGGAAGTGCTGCGGAAGGAATAGACATTTGGTTTTAAATTTCTTATTCACATGACATTTGCAGAAGGTTATCTTTATTGCAGAGAATTTTAAGTTTTTAAGGTCTGAATATAGTTTTTATATTTTCAACGCACAAGAATCCATGAAGCAGTAGCTAGAGAGCTAAGGACAACGATGTCCTTTCGTGCGACGTTGATGCAAAAAGGGCATTGATATGCCGTGATGTTTTAGGAAGTGTTGCAGAAGGAAGTGTTGCGGAGGGAAATGTTACGGAAGGAAGTGCTGCGGAAGGAATAGACATTTGGTTTTAAATTTCTTATTCACATGACATTTGCAGAAGGTTATCTTTATTGCAGAGAATTTGAAGTTTTTAAGGTCTGAATATAGTTTTTATATTTTCAACGCACAGGAATCCATGAAGCAGTAGCTAGAGAGCTAAGGATTAATGATGTCCTATCGTACGACGTTGATGCAAAAAGGGCATTGATATGCCGTGATGTTTTAGGAAGTGTTGCAGAAGGAAGTGTTGCGGAGGGAAATGTTACGGAAGGAAGTGCTGCGGAAGGAATAGACATTTGGTTTTTAATTTCTTATTCACATGACATTTGCCGAAGGTTATCTTTATTGCAGAGAATTTGAAGTTTTTAAGGTCTGAATATAGTTTTTATATTTTCAACGCACAAGAATCCATGAAGCAGTAGCTAGAGAGCTAAGGGACAACGATGTCCTATCGTACGACGTTGATGCAAAAAGGGCATTGATATGCCGTGATGTTTTAGGAAGTGTTGCAGAAGGAAGTGTTGCGGAGGGAAATGTTACGGAAGGAAGTGCTGCGGAAGGAATAGACATTTGGTTTTAAATTTCTTATTCACATGACATTTGCAGAAGGTTATCTTTATTGCAGAGAATTTGAAGTTTTTAAGGTCTGAATATAGTTTTTATATTTTCAACGCACAAGAATCCATGAAGCAGTAGCTAGAGAGCTAAGGGACAACGATGTCCTTTCGTGCGACGTTGATGCAAAAAGGGCATTGATATGCCGTGATGTTTTAGGAAGTGTTGCAGAAGGAAGTGTTGCGGAGGGAAATGTTACGGAAGGAAGTGCTGCGGAAGGAATAGACATTTGGTTTTAAATTTCTTATTCACATGACATTTGCAGAAGGTTATCTTTATTGCAGAGAATTTGAAGTTTTTAAGGTCTGAATATAGTTTTTATATTTTCAACGCACAGGAATCCATGAAGCAGTAGCTAGAGAGCTAAGGATTAATGATGTCCTATCGTACGACGTTGATGCAAAAAGGGCATTGATATGCCGTGATGTTTTAGGAAGTGTTGCAGAAGGAAGTGTTGCGGAGGGAAATGTTACCGAAGGAAGTGCTGCGGAAGGAATAGACATTTGGTTTTAAATTTCTTATTCACATGACATTTGCAGAAGGTTATCTTTATTGCAGAGAATTTTAAGTTTTTAAGGTCTGAATATAGTTCTTGTATTTTCAACGCACAGGAATCCATGAAGCAGTAGCCAGAGAGCTAAGGATTAATGATGTCCTATCGTATGACGTTAATATAAAAAGAACGTTGATATGCCGTGCTGTTTTTTGAAACGGTGAGAATAAAATTTTTGGTCAATAAACTTCAAAGAGTTTTTCAAAGAGTATTATTGTTGATCTAAAAAGCAGTAGTGAACCTCTAAGTCAAGTTTTTACCGATAAAGACAGCCATATAGGGAGGTTTTTACCGACAAAGACAACCGTAGCAACCAGCTTTCCAATTCTTTATCATAAACTAACAGTGATCAATCTTTTAAGCTGAATTATTGCAGTCATTAAAAATACCGTGCAATGTGTAACCATTATAATATTACCATTGCAAATTTGATACTGATTTGTTACAGTTATCACTTTCTCTTGTAGATCTAGTTCCTCTCAAGAAGTGGAAGAATGTGACTCGACCTAATTGGTGGCCTTGCAATATTCCTTTCAGGTCGGGAAATGTTGGGGAGAGAAATGCCGCCATCGGATTTGAAAAGAATGAAGAAGAAGCGGGGATTGATAGAGTGTGGCCCGTCCTAATTGGTGGCCTTGCAATATTACATGCAGGTCGCCAAACAGGAATCCACGTTTTTCACGAGAAGTTCTTAATCAAATCCTACACAGACGAAGAAAGTACGCTTGTATAGAGGATAATGGTGAGGAAGGAAGTGTTGCGGAAGGAAGTGTTGCGGAAGGAAGTGTTGCGGAAGGAAGTGTTGCGGAAGGAAGTGTTGCGGAAGGAAGTGTTGGGGAAGGAAGTGTTGCAGAAGGAAGTGTTGCGGAGGGAAATGTTACCGAAGGAAGTGCTGCGGAAGGAATAGACATTTGGTTTTAAATTTCTTATTCACATGACATTTGCAGAAGGTTATCTTTATTGCAGAGAATTTTAAGTTTTTAAGGTCTGAATATAGTTTTTATATTTTCAACGCACAGGAATCCATGAAGCAGTAGCTAGAGAGCTAAGGATTAATGATGTCCTATCGTACGACGTTGATGCAAAAAGGGCATTGATATGCCGTGATGTTTTAGGAAGTGTTGCAGAAGGAAGTGTTGCGGAGGGACATGTTACGGAAGGAAGTGCTGCAGAAGGAATAGACATTTGGTTTTAACTTTCTTATTCACATGACATTTGCAGAAGTTTATCTTTATTGCAGAGAATTTTAAGTTTTTAAGGTCTGAATATAGTTTTTATATTTTCAAAGCACAGGAATCCATGAAGCAGTAGCTAGAGAGCTAAGGATTAATGATGTCCTATCGTACGACGTTGATGCAAAAAGGGCATTGATATGCCGTGATGTTTTAGGAAGTGTTGCAGAAGGAAGTGTTGCGGAGGGAAATGTTACGGAAGGAAGTGCTGCGGAAGGAATAGACATTTGGTTTTAAATTTCTTATTCACATGACATTTGCAGAAGGTTATCTTTATTGCAGAGAATTTTAAGTTTTTAAGGTCTGAATATAGTTTTTATATTTTCAACGCACAGGAATCCATGAAGCAGTAGCTAGAGAGCTAAGAATTAATGATGTCCTATCGTACGACGTTGATGCAAAAAGGGCATTGATATGCTGTGATGTTTTAGGAAGTGTTGCAGAAGGAAGTGTTGCGGAGGGAAATGTTACCGAAGGAAGTGCTGCGGAAGGAATAGACATTTGGTTTTAAATGTCTTATTCACATGACATTTGCAGAAGGTTATCTTTATTGCAGAGAATTTGAAGTTTTTAAGGTCTGAATATAGTTCTTGTATTTTCAACGCACAGGAATCCATGAAGCAGTAGCCAGAGAGCTAAGGATTAATGATGTCCTATCGTATGACGTTAATATAAAAAGAACGTTGATATGCCGTGCTGTTTTTTGAAACGGTGAGAATAAAATTTTTGGTCAATAAACTTCAAAGAGTTTTTCAAAGAGTATTATTGTTGATCTAAAAAGCAGTAGTGAACCTCTAAGTCAAGTTTTTACCGATAAAGACAGCCATATAGGGAGGTTTTTACCGACAAAGACAACCGTAGCAACCAGCTTTCCAATTCTTTATCATAAACTAACAGTGATCAATCTTTTAAGCTGAATTATTGCAGTCATTAAAAATACCGTGCAATGTGTAACCATTATAATATTACCATTGCAAATTTGATACTGATTTGTTACAGTTATCACTTTCTCTTGTAGATCTAGTTCCTCTCAAGAAGTGGAAGAATGTGACTCGACCTAATTGGTGGCCTTGCAATATTCCTTTCAGGTCGGGAAATGTTGGGGAGAGAAATGCCGCCATCGGATTTGAAAAGAATGAAGAAGAAGCGGGGATTGATAGAGTGTGGCCCGTCCTAATTGGTGGCCTTGCAATATTACATGCAGGTCGCCAAACAGGAATCCACGTTTTTCACGAGAAGTTCTTAATCAAATCCTACACAGACGAAGAAAGTACGCTTGTATAGAGGATAATGGTGAGGAAGGAAGTGTTGCGGAAGGAAGTGTTGCGGAAGGAAGTGTTGCGGGAGGAAGTGTTGGGGAAGGAAGTGTTGCAGAAGGAAGTGTTGCGGAGGGAAATGTTGCGGAAGGAAGTGTTGCGAAAGGAATAGACATTTGGTTTCAAATTTCATATTCACATGACATTTGCAGAAGGTTATCTTTATTGCAGAGAATTTGAAGTTTTTAAGGTCTGAATATAGTTTTTATATTTTCAACGCACAGGAATCCATGAAGCAGTAGCTAGAGAGCTAAGGATTAATGATGTCCTATCGTACGACGTTGATGCAAAACGGGCATTGATATGCCGTGATGTTTTAGGAAGTGTTGCAGAAGGAAGTGTTGCGGAGGGAAATGTTACGGAAGGAAGTGCTG